CAGAGGTGTAAGCGTTCCTGGAGTGGGGGAAGCTTCCTTCAGCCGAACGTGTGGCGTCGAAATTGTGTTCGTTTGCACCCTGTGCGACATAATGCTCATGAAGCGGTCTGGCAGCTTTGTGCAATTAATTAACGTTAGGAGGGATTATCTATTTTGTCATAGTATTTAAGTCATAATGTCATTTCAGAATTCAGTTCTGTAGGGTTTTTTTGTTTTAAAAAATGTATATTCTGGGTAGTTTCAATTGGCAAAGAAATGTAATTGTGATTTAATACTGCATAGTGTTTTGGGTATTTTTTTTATATGCAAAGGTCTTATGAGCCAATAAAACTATTTCAAAGTACTTCAATTTTTGCCTGTTTTTCCACCTGGGAGCCAAGGTACCAACATCTGTCACCATCATAGTTTGGTAGGTAAACGCTGTGAAAGAAAAATTTTCATAGGTGACGTTGGAAAGTTTGGAAGTCCGTGTATCTTTCGAAAATTAACTTTTAACCATTTTTAAGGATTGTAAATGGCTTCTGAAAGAATCAGCAGCCTCCCGTCCCGGGCCTCCCCACTTCTCCAGACTCTTGAAGCCCCGTGTTTCTAAATGATATATCCGGTTTTGCCTCTGTGTTTGCTAAAGCTAAATATGCCCCCGCACGCGCGCACACACACACACACACACACACACACATACAGAGCTTCGTTTCCTTTGTATCTACTGCTGATGTAACCAAAAGGGGGGTCCAGCAGCTCACTGTGCAGAAGCCAATAAAGAGGCCAGGTTGGTGGAAAGGAAAGTTTGCTTTATTTTCGATGCCGGCAGCCAGGGTTGGGGGAGGGTGAACTCGTGTCCAAAGGCCGACTCCCCCCTGACAGGGGGCAAGGGCTTCTATAGGTGGAGGGAGGGGGCTACACGCAGAAACAGCACAGGCAGCTCTGACAGGCATCTTGATATTGGCCACGCGGTGCTCTGACCGGCGTCATCTTGATTAAGTGCAGTTAGTCTTCAGTTCCAAGGTCGGTTGGTTCCCATTTCCTTGAGGCCAGTTCTCAGAATTGTGGCAGCTTGTGTCACGGCTACAGTCTGGTCATCATGCAGTTCACTTCTTCCACCTGGTGGGGCTTCAGTGTCTGCAAGATGGCTCACAGGGTGTGGCTCAGGATATCACCTGTGGCCCCTGAGGAGGAACCACAGGGCCTTGACTGCGCTTAACGGCTCAACTATTGTCTTGTCCTGTTTGACCACTTTCCTTTGTTTCTGTGTTTTCTCACTTCTCTGATTAAACTTATTCTTTGCCTAAAGTTTTTCCACAGACAAAAGGCAGGCTGAGGATGTGGGGGGAAGGACCCTGGGGTCCTGCTCCGTTTCACTGATTCTTCTCCAACTCCTTCCTAGCCGTTTGACACCCATTTCGCCAAGGACACTACCATCTACTCGTCTGTCGGTGGTCTCCCCCACGCTGTGACCCCTCCTGGGCACCTTTGCTCCATCCGTGTGTCACATCTGACCTCGGGATCCTGTGCTCTCCCTTCTGCTCCGGTGGTACAGATCCTGCAGTCGCTTTAAGGAGCGTGGATGCCTGGAAGGCAAGATGATTTTAGACCTTGAGAGTCTGGAAGTGCTCTTACTCTACCTTCAGACTCGCCTGGTGGTTTGGGAACAAGTTCTCGGTGGGCAGCGTTTGCCAGTTGCCTCCCTCTTGCCCACGTTGCTGTCGAGAAGTTTGACCTCTGCAGGCCGAGCGAGTCTCTCTCTGTTCCCGGGGTCGGAAAGTTTGCGATGATTTTCCTGGGCATTAGGTGGAGCCTTTCAGTCTGGAAGCTCAGGTCTTTGAGTCCTGGGAAAGTTTCTTTTCTTTGCATTCAGTGAACACTGAGTGCCTGCCTCACACTGGGCTCTCGTTGGGAACATAAGTGAACAAACAACAGCAACAGACGACAATCCTGTGCTCGTGAAACGGCGTGGAGAAGAGCGTTTCAGTATGGCAGCGGGATAAGTGCTAAGGAAGAAGTACTGCCCCGGGATGGACGAAGACAGGAGCGGGTGTGGTCCAGATGTTCGGGTGGCCAAGCAGACCTCCGCGAGAACGAGAGGGGGAGTGTGCCCCGGAGGAGGGCCTGCCAGGCTGACGGAGGGGCGAGTCCACAGGCCCTGAGCGGGAAGGTGCCTGGCCGGCTCGGTGTCCGGTGAGGCCGGTCCAGCACGTGAGCAGAGATAGTGGCGTTGCCGGGAGATGACGGTGTGGAGGCTTCTTGGTCATGGGAGACTTGGCTTCTACTCAGGGTTTCTAGCAAAGGAGTGATGTGGTGGGACTTAGGTGTCATGAGGGTCACCTGTGCTGTGGCCCAGAGAGAGGACGGAAGGGAGGAGAGGCGGCCAAGGGCCGGGCGGCGTCTGTGAAGCCTGGGAGGTGCTGGTGCGCAAATGGTGGTGGCGGAGATGGTAAGGCTGGTCTGGTGATGAGGGCGCTTGAAGGACGAACCAATAAAATTTGGTGACAGGTCGTGTGTGGCGTGTATGTGGGAAAGAGGAGCTGGCGGTGGCTTTCGTTTACTGAGGTCATGATAGGCACCAGCTTGGTTCTTAGCGCTTTGCAGGGACAACTCATTTGAATCCTCGTAATAACCCAGTAAACTAAGTACCCTTATTCACATGTTCGGGGTAAGGAGGCTAACTTGCCCTGGATCAGCCAGCTCATAAGGGGGGGCCTCGGACGCAGAGGCCCGCTCTCCCCTGTGGATCCTTCTCACCCCCACCTTCTCTGGTCTGTCTGCTCTCCCCTGTGGATTCTTCTCACCTCCGCCTTCTCTGGTCCATCTTTCTGGAATAGCCGCTGGAGGCAGAGGCCCGCTGTCCCCTGTGGATTCTCACCTCCACCTTCTCTGGTCCGTCCACTCTCCCCTGTGGATTCTCATCTCCACCTTCTCTGGTCCGTCCTCTCTCACCTGTGGACTCTTCTCACCTCCACCTTATCTGGTCCGTCCGCGCTCCCCTGTGGATCCTTCTCACCTCCACCGTCTCTGGTCCGTCTTTCTGGAACCTTCTCTGGTCCATCTTTCTGGAATAGCCGCTGGAGCTTTGCCCTCTGCAGGTTGTATATGTTTCTTTCCTCCGTATTTTCCACCCTTTGTCTTTGTGCTCTTCTCCCTGAGAGAGTTCCTCAACTTTATTTTTTCCTCTTTGCCATCATTGTGCTATGAATTTCTGAGCTCACTTTTTTGGTAATGTCTTTTTTTTGTTGTAGCCTGTGTGTGTTTGGTGATTACTTATCTCCGTGAGGATATCAAATTTGTTTTTAATTTTCTCCCTGTATGTTCTCTTTGCTTCCACGGTTTTTTCTGTTCGTTTTGGCCTCTTTCACAGCACTTTTTCCTCAGATGTCCAGCAGCCCCGGGTTAGGTGTGCTCCCGTTCAGCTCGAGAGCAGATTGGAAGCTCGGAGCATGGGGCGGGGACGGGGCACGGAGTGTGGCTTTGATCCTCAAGGAGCCGTTTGTTGGAAACCCTGGAAGCCAGGGTCTTCAGGGCTTTTCCTCTTGGGCTGGTTAGAGCCCCAGAGAACCTCTTCTGTTCTCTCGCCAAGTGGGGAAAAGTCTGCTCCCTGTGTTCTAGGTGCCACGTGGGCAGGCGTCTCCCAGCGAGCAGTGTGTGTGTGTGTGTGTGTGTGTGTGTCCCCCCTTGGTCTCTGCATGTGACGTGGGACCCAGGCCCCCAGCTCTACTGGGGTCCAGTTCGGAGATCCTTCTGGAGTGGGAGAGGATGACCACTGCCGTTGGAGCCCTGCAGACACCTGCCGCGTAAGCGAGACGGGTTCTTGTCCCCGCTGGGACCTGCCAAGTGCGTTGCCAGGTGCCCGTCCTGTCCCCGGGCTCGGCACTGTGCTGCTGCGTCTCCAGCGTGCGACCCCTTTACTGCGCGGTGGGCGGGGGCTTGGGAGGGCTTGAAGTGAGGCGTGGGGTCAGTCCATCGCCTTGACTAATATTCAGGATAATTAAGGTTTGCAACTCACAACCGTCGGGACTCAAGGCCTGGCCTCTGACCAGAGTGGGCAGGCTGTACGTAGACGGGGTGGGGTCGGGGGGACTCAGCCTCCGCTGCACGTCCTGGCAGGAGTGGGGGGAGGGCGGGAGAAGGAGGTGAGTGCCTGACCCCGCCCCCTACCGCCTGACTCACTGGTGCCCCCGTTGCAGAACCTGCCAGATGCTCCCTGGTAAAACAGGACGGAAAGGGTGGAGCGTGGGTCTGGAGGGACGGCGGGGCGGGCACACCTAGAGTGGACAGATCTCTGAGCCCAGACGCGTAGCGACTACATCTTAGATGAAACAAAGTTCTGCCTGATTGTGTACCTTGAGAAAGCTAATAATAGGACCGGGAAAATTGTCAGATGTAAACCATTTATGAAAATCAGTAGCTTCTGGACTATAATTGTAATCAGGAAATGTACCAAGAAAAATCTGCCCTTCTCAGTAACAGCATGGAGGTAAACGTACTAGTTTCCGAGGAATAGGACCAAGGTGGAGACAAAAGCCTCGAACAAAAGCAGGCATAAGCCATATTCCTAAACATGATTTTATTATAAGCATCATTAGTATAAACAGTATTTAAATTCGGTTTTATATTCCCACCATGCTTGGGAATATAAACACGGGCGAGGTGGTCAGTGTGTATTTAAAAGGTGGCCAGTGTGTATTTGTTGACTGACAAAATGAGTGAATAAACTGTCACTGAGACATTTATGCCGGTGTCTGACAGGGGAGGCCTGCCCTCGCTCGACGTGTGTGTCCACCAGGAGGCGGGCTCCACCGCGACGGCCGGTCTCAGCACAGCGGCCGCCTGGTGCCCGTGACCACACTCAGCCAAGACTGGTTCAGCGTTTGTAGCTAACCTCATGGGCCAATCACCAGGTTTTTAAAAAGCTTACTATTTATCTGTACGTTTACAAAAGTAATGTGACCGTTGCCAAAAAGGTATGAGAGGAGATGCAGCCAAAAACAAAAGAAAGCACACAGAAAAAACATAATAAAAGTCAACTTTAATTTTTCTTCTCAACAGTAACCACTGCTAGCTTTTTAGTATACGTCTCTGGGGTATCTTTTCGCATGTGTGTGAGAGAATTGGAAGCAACATCGCCCGTTTCCTAGCCTGCTTGCTTTTTCTCTCCTCGCCGTGTGGTTTGTCACGTCCTGGAATTGGCCTCAGTGGGTGACTCTCAGTGGCTGCACACAGAGCCCCGAGGGGCCACTTGTTCTGTGTGACGCAGAGCACGGGCTGTGACATCGGGCTCCTAAGAACCAGGAAAATGTGGTCTGGACCTCGGACTACTTTCTCCAGCGCCTGGACTGTACCGCCCTCGTCCCTTACCTGGACCCTCCCCCTGCCCTCAAGCCCACCCAGGGAGGGGTCTGATCACATACCACCAACCCCTTCCCGCCCCACCCCCCGCCCACCTAAACTCCCCACACTCTCAGTATAAAGACGGAGTCCATGCTTTAGTCCCCAAGACCGCATCCGCCCACCTGGTCTCACCCATCGGGTCCCGCCACCCGTGCAGCATCATTCCCACCTCGCTCCCTCCCTCCCTGCCCTCAGCCCCTGCCCCCAGGTGGTGAAGAGCCAGGGCTCAGATCTATCTACTTGGGTGCGAGTCCTGTCTGTGCCACTTCTCCCCTGGGTGACCTCGGTCAGGGTCGTCATCTTTGTCTTCACTCTCCTCATCTGTAGGATGGGGACCAAAATATTACCTAATCGCAGTGGGAATGACCTGCTGAGAACCGTCTGCTCAAGAAGGGTGAGTTAGGAGCGTTTCTCGTTCTCCTGATCTCACCTCAAACGTCACTTCCTTCGGGAGGCCTGTGACCCCTCAGGCCAGGTCAGGCCCCACCCCAGTTGCACACCCACCCGGATGTGCTCGCACAGCCCGTGCCCTCGTGCTCAGAGCTCAGGGAGCGCTGCTCCCCTTGCTGGATGTTGACTGCTCTCCCTCTGGACCGCGCAGGGTACGAGGCCAGCGCCCGGCCTGCAGCTCCTTTCATCTCCTTCCCTGAGGGGCTGGGCTGAGCCCAGGAGGCCAGCCCGGACATAGGGAGGGTTGCAGTCTTCCAGGGACACTTGACATGTGTGCTGCCTGCTGTACGTCAGGCACTGTTGGAAGTGTTTTACATTTATCATCTCAGTTTCCCAAATGACCACCTGAGCCTCGCCTATGTTGTATCTAGAAGAGGACTTGGGACTCAGAGAGGCTGAGTGACTGTCCCGGGGCCACAGAGTGGGTTGAAACCCAGGCAGCCTGAGTGCTCAGCCACCTTGCCCCTGGTTCTCGGACTCCTGTGCGCATCAGAGCCCAGAATGCTAGTTCAGTCTGTCTGCGGTGGGGCTGAGAATGTGTTTCTAGTAGGTTCCCCGTAAGGCTGGTGCTGCCGATGCGTGCAGACCACACTTGGAGAGCCCCCGCGCCACCCGCCGTCAGTGCCCAGGAGGAAGTTTCCAGTAGCCAGCGGGCTCCCCTAGATGTGGGTACAACTGCACTGTTGCCTTTGCCCCCCGCCTGCCTCCTACCTGGACACTCATTTATCTTTCCTTTCTGGTTCCAACCACTTCGGTGACTCGGGAGGACAAGTCCCCGTGTCACCTGGGCCTGCCCACCTCCCTTCTGTCGGACCCTTCAAACCGCGGCTGCTGGTTTTCCCCAGCGGGGCTGGTTTAAATCATCCACCTTGAAATGGACTCGCGTGTGTTGTGCTGGCGAGGCCCCCCCAGGCAGGGGAGGGTCGGCTGACGCCAGAGGAAACGGCACCTTTCTGCTGCTCACGGAGGCTCCACGGTGGCCAGCTGGGCCCTCGGGAAGACAGAGATTTTCAAGCAACTCGATTTCTGTGCTTCTTGCCGATTTTGATTAACTTTTCACTCCCGTTGTAGAACGCGGGTTTTATTCACTTGGCTTCTCACGGAGGAATAGGAGCCTGCAGCCCTCAGGTTCCCTGCCCGCCCTGCCACTTCCTCGCTGTCACACTTCCTCCATGTCACACCAGGGAAACCAGTATTGTGAAAACAAGAAGTCTCTTCTTGGGCCGAGGGCTTGGAAAACTGCACACTTGCCCATGGGCATCGAAAGCCTGAGTCCAAGTGCGTGGAGGAAGATGCCTGGTTGCTCCCCAGGGATTACGCCTGGGGCGCCCGGGTCCGGGCAGCCTCTGCTTCAGCAATGGCAGAGTCCCGGCTGGTAATTCGTTACTGAGGGAAGTTACATAACCGGCCACCTTCTCACTGTTCAACCATTTCCTGGAGCAGAAAGTATTTGAGTTGGAATCCTACCTTTCTTCCATTATTTTTTGAAGTCTTGCCTCAAGGCAGCAAAAATGTGAAGGCTTCACTGAACCATCCAGTTAGAACAGACTCTGCTCCCCCTGTGCTGACCTCACGCCTGGCAGCCGGTGCTGCAGAGATTCTGGCCTTTTGGCTTCGGATAAGCCTCCTGAGGGCAGCCGTAGGAATGATGGTGGTAACCTCACGACGCCTGGCTCCTCGGAGGTTTTCAGCAAGCGCTTGTGTACTGGACACATTTAGGAGACGTGGTTCTGTCTCAGCCGGGCAGGTGCGAACTCTCCCTGGTTCGGGGAGTGGATCACCGTGTCGGGGGCGTTCTCCCGGCCGCCTCGCTGAGCTGGGGAACGGCTGGGAGTGACCGTGTAGGATATGGTACGAATTTTCTACTTCTGCACTAAAAGCAGGACCACCCAGGTCCCTTTTGCAGTATCTTTACTGAAGCAATAAACTGATTGCAAAGCCAGCGCTTCCTTATCTGTCCATGTTCAAATGAAGTGAAATAAAAAGGATATAATGAACATGCTCAAGGTCGTAATCGTGAGACAGAGCTGGACGGCTTCTGGAATCTCAGGGTATCATTTAGTCTCTCCCAGCCTCAGGCTCCTCATTCCTCGAAGGGGGATGGGTTACAACAACCTCTAAAAACACGCGCAGTTTGAGGATGCGTGGTTTGTGTTCACATCACAAAGCCACCTAAAGGAAACTCCGCATTTTGCTGGTGAGCCATTCAATCCCAGCCTCCGTCCATGATGGGACAACTAGACTTTGAGACAAAGCCATTGTCCAGCCGGTGGCAGGTCACTTCACTCCCTTGGGCCTCAATTTTCCCAGCTTTAAAGTGAGGACAGGGGCTTCCCTGGTGGCGCAGTGGTTGAGAGTCCGCCTGCCGATGCAGGGGACGCGGGTTCGTGCCCCGGTCCGGGAGGATCCCACATGCCGCGGAGCGGCTGGGCCCGTGAGCCATGGCCGCTGAGCCTGCGCGTCCGGAGCCTGTGCTCCGCAACGGGAGAGGCCACAACAGTGAGAGGCCCGCGTACTGAAAATAAATAAATAAAGTGAGGATAAGAGAGGCCGCTGGGCCCTCTTTTACTTTGGAAGTTTCTTATGAAAATCAGATGAGGTGACGTAGGTGCTGTCTAAAAGTGAGGGACCCTTCTTGCCATTTATATAGGAAAGGGTCAGGGATCATTGGCAGGTTTTCAGAGGCCTGACGATTGGAAGACATGTTTTTCGTTCGCTCGCTGGACGTTCACGTAGGAATGGACGGAACCCCAGCTGGTAAACCGTCCTCCGGTTCTTAGCCTCTTTCTCCCTGCAGACCCGGCTGCTTCTTTCTCGAGGGAGGACAGCCCTGAGGGCACAGGCTGGATGGAGTTCTGCTGTTGTTTCATCTGCCCTCTTAGCAGCCACAGCCAGTCTCTCCTCGCCCGTCTGCCCACACCCCACCGCTCCTGGGATAGGACGCTGCGAGCGTGTTGAAACCACGGAAGGCCAGAGGCCGGTTGCTACCCGGAACCTCCTCCAGCCCCTCTGCCAGGTAACCGTCACAGCCGTACGAAGGCAGAACCGGGGAGAGACCGTCCCGGCACAGAGGCTCGGAGCTCTCTGCAGCCCTTCTCCCAAGCCAGGCCTGCCCGGAGGCGGCGTCTCACCCCGGGGTGGATGGCGCATCATCTGGGATTCTGCAGACCCAGCTCTGCCTTCTACGTCAGGGCCACTCAGGTGAGCCTCCCGGCCAGCACAGCCTCCCCGGGGCCCGTGAGAAGTGCAGGAAGCAGAGAATCCAGCCCAGTGAAGCAGCATCTCTAAGGGCTGGGCCCAGGAATCTGGGTTGTAACAAGGTCTCTCGGGATTTCTGCACCCACTGCATATGGAGAAATGACGTTCTAAGTTATTCGGGGACACTCTGGTGTCGTGACACTGGGTGGACACCTAGAATCCTGTGTGCTCGACCCACCCACCCCTCCCTGTGGGAACGTCCTGCTGCCTCAGCTCTAAGCGTGTGACGGCAGGGCTGCTGGGAGCGAGACTCCATCCAGTGGCCTGGCGGGCGCCTCTCCTCCAGGCCCAGCTCCTTCTGGGTCCAGAGAGAACAGGCCTGGGCCCCCCTCTGGTCGTGACGCCCAGGTGTGCCAGTGTGGAAAGAAGGGTGAGGAAATGGCTGACCCCGAGGACAGCAGCCTGGGCGCGTTCCGGGCTGCAGTGCAGGTGTTTCCTGGTCCAGCTGCGTCCCCGGACACACCCTGGCCATCTCTTCAAGCTGCCAGTAGACACCCCTCTTCTTCCCTCTTAACCAGGTGAAGCTGGGTTTCAACAACCTGCAGCAAGAGTTGTGACGATGGCCAGTGGGGCAAAGGAGGGCCGGAAGCCGAGCGGCTGGGCTGTGGGCAGGATGGAGGCTCGGGCCTGACGCAGGCCTTCAGGGTGCGGGGGGCAGAGGGCAGGGGGCACGGCGGCTCTCGAGACCTCACACCCGTCCTTCACTGGTAACTTGGGATTTCCAGTTTCCTATTGAAAAAGCTCCAAATTTATTTTGAAATGGGGGCCAAAAAGAGGGTCTTTGTCTCCAAGAACTATAACATCTGCTGGGAACCTCTTTCTCTGTCATTTTTTGAGATCTGTCAACAGCAGCCAGGGCTGGCTAATGCACCCCTCTGGCATCGGTCCCTGTTCTCCCAGGGCCTGTCCACCCAGCCCTGCCCTGAGCCCTGACACCCCAACCGCTCACCCAGAGGTGCAGAGGGCCAGTGAGGGGAGCTTGGGGGTGGACTCAGGTGCCCTAAGCGTACACTCTGCACCTTGGTCTCTTCACCGGAGAAGCTGAGCTGAGGGGTTCCACTTAGAAGGCAGAGATGAGTGAGAATAATAACTCTGAAACGCCTGGCACATAGAAGGTGTTTCGTTAGAGCTCTCAAAAGACCCCCATGTAATACCCCTTTCTACTGAAAGTAAAGATTTTTCTTGCTGATCCTGGCTATTTTCAGAAGTGGCCAGTGTTGTTTGTTTGCTGGGACCAGTCCAGGTGTGATTTTTCCTTCCACCTGGGAAGCCTGGTGTGCCAGACATTCCTTCTTACGACTCAGTGCTGGGGATCCTTTTCCTTGTGTGGTTAAAACACATAAATACGTAGAGCCGGGTGACAGTCTGTTTCAGCCCTAAGATCAGATCACTTGTAGATAATCAGTGCTGTCTCACAGGCATCGTAGGACAGGAAAGGAATTTCTGAGTGTTTTGTTTGTTTGTTTTAAATAAGTTTATTTATTTATTTTTGACTGCGTTGGGTCTTTGTTGCTGTGCGCGGGCTTTCTCTAGTTGCAGTGAGCAGGGGCTACTCTTCGTTGCAGTGCGCGGGCTTCTCACTGCGGTGGCCTCTCTTGTTGCGGAGCACAGGCTCTAGGCACACGGGCTTCAGTAGTTGTGGCTCGCGGGCTCAGTAGTTGTGGTGCACGGGCTTAGTTGCTCCGTGGCATGTGGGACCTTCCCGGACCAGGGCTCGAACCCGTGTCCCCTGCATTGGCAGGAGGATTCTCAACCACTGCGCCACCAGGGAAGTCCTTCTGAGTTATTTAATCCACTTCCTGCGGTAATCGTGCATCACCAGCTGTCACTCCGCCTGCGTGACAGAGGCTCAGCTGTGGAGGGGAAAGAACAGAGCAAAGTCAGTTATTCTGATGGATCGTTTGTTCTATCATAACTGGCTCCATCAATACGCCTAACAAACACCATTTCCTAATTCAGTCATCCTGATAATACCGCTGCTTGAAACAAACAAAGAAACGCATTGAAATAAATAACAGTAGGTTATGGTCATGGAGGGTTTAGCCTGAGACCCGCCTCCGCCCAGTAAGTGTGTGATTAACCAAGTTACCCCCTCTCCTGGCTGCACTGAATCAAATTCCTACAATACCAGCTAGTTCCGTCCGAGTTTCTACAGGTGTTCCAGGTTCGCTGGAGAAAGGTCCAGAGTGGAGAAGGAAGGAGTGGGGACCAGCCTGCCCTTCAGAGACCTCACGGCATCATGTCTCGACTTAAACCCCTTGTGATCACTGGACCTGGTTACCTAGTTGTATTCACTCATTTATTCATTAAAAGATTGAACGTGTAAGTTCTGGGAATATCAAAACTAGTGAGAGAACTTCCAAGCTAAGTTAATGGCAGAGGCCAAATGCACTCATAATTAAAATACTTCTACATGTAATTGGGAAAGAGTTGGCGCTTTATGTCAGAGAGTAAATCTGCTAGTAATAGGCAGGCTTGGTTCAGTGCCATCTCCTACAATCAGAATCCATCTTCCTCTCCTTCACACTCCAGCGGGGCTCATACAGCATCTTTGGTATTATAGTACTGTTCATGGTCTGTTTTGTATTTTAGTTGTATTATTAGGATCTGAAGAAGGAACAAAAATAAGAAAGAAATGGGTCTTTGCCTTCAAGGAGCTTACAGTCTACTAGCAGCTTTAAGCCGGGGTCACAAGTGATGATTCAGAGAAGTATCTGGTAAGTGTTAAAGGAAGCAGCAGAGGTTAAGCGTGCGGGTGAGAACGTCGGTGTATCAGGAGAAGACTCGTGAGGGAGAGGCGCATCGACAGGGGGCTTGAAGGTTGAGTGGTATTTCCACAGGTACGGGTATAGAAACCAGCATTCTGGAACGAGGAGGGGCACAGCTCTGCTTCCACATGGAGAAGGGTTTCTCAACCGCGTGCGGCACTGTTGACGTTTGGGGTCAGATCATTCTCTGCGAGGGGCCGTCCTGTGCACTGTAGGCCGTTCCCACCTCCCCGCTAGATGCCCCGGCACCTCCCCCGAGAAGATGTCTCCAGATGTCGCCACATGCCCCTGGGGCTGGGGGCAAGACCGCCTCGGTCAAGGCCCCTGATGGAGAACATACACAGACACAGAGAGGCAGGTGTATGAGGAGGTGTGTTTACATCACTGAGGACAGATGCAGGAGAGAAGCAGCTCACGACCCTGGCTGCATTTGATTGAGATCTCAAAAAACGACGGAGGAGGACGATGTTGCCCCCAGACTTTCATAGTCCTTGCAGACAGAGACCCACTAGGGCCCATTATTTTGTCATTTTCCCCAGAGCCCAGTGTTCTCGTGGTCTCTCTCCCATCAAGCTTGTTCTCAGATCCTCAGCCCTACAAAGATGTGATGACTGATCTTCACTAGGACATCAGTGGTACCTGAAGACAGTTATTCCTGTAGCAAGCATTTTTATTTTAAAGCACGCCTGATTATTTAAGGCAACAGGATGTAACTTAGCCGTAGAATCTCAGGCATTAGTGAGAGGGCAGAGGACGTGGAACCCTCCAGGAACAGCTGCAGATGGTCAGCATGTCTCCCTGGCTCAGACCGGCCCTCTTTCAGGTACAGTACATGCTCAGCACCCTCCAAGTTTGAATGACAACCGCTTAAGAATCTGCCAACGTTTTCACCACTAGAAAAAGGAAACATGCCTTGTTGCTTTGTGTTGAAAACTCAAAGCACCACATTCCTCCTATTCCCCAGGAAAATCCAGCTCTGACCAAATTCCTTACAGCGCGTGACCCTGAGCCCCAACGCGAACTTCACCTTCGTCTCCCCCAGAACAGCTGTGCGCTCCGCCACCAGCCTCACAGGTCACATTTTAAAAGTCAGCAGGGATTTTTCCCGCAATGCTTCAAACTCAAAGTTGAGGCGCAGTCATAGCAGTGAAACTCACTCAGTCTCTTAGGATTAAGCCTGGTGAATCTGTCACTCTGTTTCTGTGCCTGGTAATTCAGGAATGTAAAGAGACTTTATTCTGAGTAGGAGGGAGCAGAATAGGGATAGATTTGCTGAAGATACAGAAACCACGATAAGAGGAGATACAAAATCAACAAGAAAACGGTTGCCAGGCAACATGCTTGGTTGTCAGAGCGACAGAGCCATCTTCAATAATAACCCACAAGCAATCTTGGATAACAGCCCATAAAGCTCTGAGCTAGAAAGCGTCGATGTCAGGAGTGGGTGACAGCAGATACTCTTCCAGAGAACGAAAGCATGCGGCTCCCTCGTTCCATTCCATGAATACGGACCATGCTGTGAACACAGGCCCCAGGGGTCTGCACATCTGAGGCGGGTAGTGTCCCTGCTACCTGGACCATTTTGTGGCTTTTGTTTTTCTTATGGTCGTAGCCCTGTCTGCGCATTATGTTTTTACTCAGCACAGTGAACTGCAGTCACAGGAAGCACCCAGTTGTCCCCAGTATCTTGCCTCCCAGTTGTCCCCAGTATCTTGCCTTGCAAGCCTGGCACAGTCTTGCTGACTTGATCACCAGCATGTGGCCAGTGGGGCCCATTCCTGAGCAGGACAGTGACCAGGCGTGAAGATGGCAGGATGTTAGGGTTTGGGGGAAATTTATGGAACAGGGGCCTCATTCATCACTTTTCCAGGTGAGGGATGTGACTCCTATGATGGATGTGCCATTGCCCACCTCCTTTTGCTCTCTGGGTCTGCCCTTCTAAGTAGAACCCGGTCTCTGTGCTCTGAGTCCTCTGCAGCTGACCTCGTGCTCCTATTTTCCTCCGTAAAAGGACTCCTTGACAGCAAGGACTCTGCCGTGCTCCTTCCTGGTCCCCGGCCGCCGGCCCAGTACATTCAAACGTCGCTACACAGGAGCACTAATACCTCCACCTGACCAGTGACCTTCAAGACAAGCAGTAAGTCGTGGTCAGCACATCCCAGCCCTGCGTTATCCTGAGTGCAGTACAGGGGCTAAGGGCTCTGCAGGCCAGACTCCAGGCTGAACCCTGGCTCATTGCGACCCTTGACTTGCCTGATGTCTCTGTCTCTCGGTTTTGTCGTCTGTAAAATGAGGATACCGGTTATACCCAACTCATCAGATTGTCTAGGGGATTAAGCAAGCTCATAGCAAGTTTGGAGAAGTTCCCGTCCCATGAGCACCGTGACTCTGTAAAGTGAGACACTACCTTCCTCTTACAGTTTGGCCCTTGTGGGAATCACGTCAAAGCAGAATCTCCCCAGGTCACAGGTTGGAACTCGGCAGGACTGTGCCAGTGGGCAGGGTGGGTACGTGGGGACGTGGTGGAGGAGGACAGGCCCCGTCCCTCTTCTTTGAGGTTTTCCCGCGTGAAACGCTTGATCGCTGGGTTGGTGGTTCTTAGCAATATAAATTAAGCCATCCTTCGGCTTTCCCTCATCGCTGGGTTGGTGGTTCTTAGCAATATAAATTAAGCCATCGTTCAGCTTTCCCTCACTGGGATTTTCCATGTCCATGCTGATTTTGATTTACTTTTATTTCTTCTAAAAAGCAGCACGCAAAGAAGGCTTACCAAGAGTTTTATTCGTTGTCGTAACAAAACTGTGGTGGAACCGCTCAGAAAGACAGCGGTTTCCTGTGTAACTGGTCACAGCCTTGCTCAAGATTAGAGGCTTTTTCTTAACACCCAACAGAGAAGAGCCAGCTAGGGATAGAAAAGCCAAATACTTTATTTGATGAATAGATTTTTAAATTTTTATTGAAGTCTAGTTGGTTTACAATGTGTTAATTTCTGCTGTACAGCAAAGTGACTCCGTTATACATGCATAGATTCTTTTTCATATTCTTCTCCAGTGTGGTTTCTCACAGGATATTGAATATAGCTCCCTGTGCTAGGACCTTGTTGTTTATTGGGGGAATATTTTATCGTCACATGTGCACACAAAGCCTGCAGAGCTTCATTCCTCCAGGGTGGTGCTTTCTCCACAAGGCAAGTTGTCATTCAAAACAGATTCATCACAGGCTCCACACACAATATCCATATATCCACAAAATGTAAAATTAAGGAAACTCAGAGAGTATACAGACAGAACTCCTCTAGGTCTTTAGAAAGTAGAGGAGAGGGCACCTTGGCAGGGCTGTGACACCCAGAGGGCTGGGAGAATTCTACTTCTTGTTCTGGGTGCTGAATACATGGGTGAGCTCATCTCGTGAAACATTTTTGAGCTGTCCTACTTACGCTGGTTAATTCCTAGCAAATGGCATTTATCAAAATACAGACATTTTTCAAAAGCTTAATAAGCTTTCTAAAGTCAAATAAAGGTGATCCCTAGTTAGGAAAATAGATGGTTGCAATGATTAAACAAAACAAACATTATCCAAAAGCAATGAAGAGAATGGATGGTACTGCGTGGATAGTCACCCCGTTCCAGGATTACCTGACCCCCACCCTGGGCGCGTCACTGATCACCTCCCCCTCTGACGATACTGTGCCTCTGCCTCTGTCCTCAGCTCTCATGCTTTGTGGCGCTGATTTCCGTGTGGTAATTGTCTCCCTAAGTGGATGGCCACCCCCAAGAGAATCACTCCGCCTTGTTTATCCTCTATCTTCAGCAACCAGGACGAGGAGAGGCACACACTGGGTTCTCATTTTCCACCTGACGAATGGTTGGGTGCGCTTTCCCTGTGGGTCCTGTGGAATCATAGGACCACATGGATGAACCTCAAAAACATGCTAAGTGAAAAGAGTCAAACACAAGAAAGCACATATTTTATGATTCCATTTATATAAAATTCTAGAACAAACAAAAGTAATCTATAGTGACATTAAAAGATCGGTACTGCAGCTACCACTGGGTCAGTTTACCAGAGTTATGAACTGGACATAAGCTACCCTAGAGCGGGGATCTTGTTTGGTTGGTTCATTGTTGCATCCTTAGGGCCTGGTTCGGAGCTTAGCGCGTAGTATACGCTAAGAGAACGTAAATTAAACCAGTGAATGACTTTGAAATCAGAGCAAAGAGAATTCATTTGAACAGTCTGAAGAGGTGCCTCATGCTGTTGTTGAGTGGAAGACTGTGAATCTTGTTCCAGATTAACAGTATTTCTGGAGTTAACGTATGTTAATTTAAAAAACCCACAATGATGAAAAAATCATCAATTTTTGAAAATTAGTTCAGCAGGCAACAACAGCAAGTAGTGTAGGACATAAAATATAGTAAGAAATTAATAAGTTTAAAAGGCACGTAAGTCCTTACCTTTTAATATATTTAGGTCATATGAAAGCAATCGAAAATTTTAAGTATCTACTGTTTTGCCTTTATAGAAAACATCTGGGTTTACTTAAAAATGGGAAAATTTTTATCCAGTTTCCTAAATATTTCTGCTAATGTATCAGATTTTCACAGAAGACTAAAATTTGCAATGCATTTATTCTTTGAAAACTGACTTTTTAAAATGTTGTGCAATAATAAAACATTTACATTTCTAATTGACGGGAAACTCTTAGGTATCTGCTGAAGCAAAAGTTCTTACTACCAGAATTTATTATAACAGATTTACAAAATAAAGGAAGGGTTGTCGTCAGAAGTTCCGGAAAAAACTCTTTCAGTAACTTCCTCTTGCTATGCAGGCCGGTTTTTTAAATGCTCTCTCCTGTGTGCTAGAAAATCACCTGTGTTCCATGACACTTGTGGGATTTCACACTACAAATTATCCTTTTTGGCAGAGTAATTTGACAGATTCATTCACTCCACACGCTCTGTCCACACCCTGTAGGCTGGGCTCCCGTCACACCAGCTACTATTTATTCAGGTAGAAAGGATCTGGTGTCGCAATTCTATACATGTGATTAGAACCCTGCAAGAAATGCTTTTACACTTTGTAACCTGTACATGTCTACAAGCCATCGACCTCTCCAAGGTCGAAGTACAACAGATCCTTCCTTAGTCCCGAGTGGTTTTTTAAATGACAGATTCATCCTCCAGTATATTTCTTATCCCCAACCGACGTACAGTTTTGTGCCGAGATCTCGGCTCTTGGCAGTGACCCTGGAGGGGGACAGGGTGCTGGATTTGTGCCACGATTTTAAGAGTAAAAAGGGCATTGCTAATAGTTCCCATAGAGTCGGACACACGCTGTTGTGAGCTGGGACGAGGGTCACACATCATAAAGCAGGGCTCATGCTGAGTGAAGCTGTTTCTGGGCTCTCTGATCTGTTCTATTTCTGACCATCTTTGCACCAAAACCCGCCCTATGTTATTTATGCAGCTTTAGGTAAGTCTTGATTCGATTAAGTATGTCTGCCTTTCTGGTTCTTCTTCAAGATTGCCTTTGTTATTCTTGGCCCTTTACATTGCTGTATAAATATTAGAATGAACTGTCATGTTTCACCAAAAGCGAAACAAAACAAAAGCTGGGGTTTTTTATTGGGCTGGCTTTGATTTTGTAGATCAGTCAACACTTTTGAAATAATGAATCATGACCATGGTATAGCTCTCCATTTATTTAAATCTTCTTTATTTTCTCTCAATAATGTTGATAGCTTTCTGTACTGTAGAGGTCCTGAGCATCTTTTGTTGGTTTTATTACCAGGCACTTGAACATTTTTTGACGTTTTTGTAAATGCTGTTAAAATTTTTTTTTTTAACTGTTGATGTTACATAGAAATACAAATCAACTTTAAATTGCACTTGTAACCAGCAACATCTTACTTAACTCACTTTTAAATTCTAATAATTTAGACTTTTTATGAAAATAATAATCTAAAATAGGGAATTCCCTAGCCGTCCAGTGGTTAGGACCCTGCACTTTCACTGCCAAGGGCGCAGGTTCAATCCCTGTTTGGGGAACTAAAATCCCATAAACCACGAGGCGCGGGCCAAAAAATAAATAAGTAAATAAGTTTTAAAAAAGATCTAAAATACTATTTTCTTCCTTTCAAATCATTATGTATTTTATTTATTTTTCTCGAGTTACTGTATCAGCGAGGATCTTCATTAAATTATTGTATAAATGGTGGCAACATACATTCTTCTCAAATTGCAGACCAATTTCTCATTTATTTCTTTCTATTTTTGCTAGTTTCACTTCGAGGGCGTGGTGGTGTTGGGTGCATACAAATTAGAATTGTTATGTTCCCCTAGTGAGCTGAATCTTTTTACCATTATGAAATGTCTGTCTTTATCTCTGGAATAAGAGAAACTACTTTGCCTAGTATTTTTAGCTACCTCTACTTTTATGGTTAGCATTTATATGATCTTCTTTTCCATTATTTTCCTTTCAAATCTTCTCTATTTTTATGTTATAGATATATTTCCTGTAGACACCATCTAGTATGTTTTCAACCCTGCCTAACCATCTGTGTCTTTTAACTAGAACATTTAGCCAACTTCCATTTTTAAGTAATTATTTGGAGTTTAATATACCATCTTGCTATTTGTCATGCCTGTTCTGTGTATCTCTTTCTCTGTTTTCTTTCCTCCTTCTGGATTGATTGTGTATTTGTTGTTATTCCTTTTTTCCTCTCTGGTTTATTTGGGAAATTATAAACCTGTTTGCTGTTCTTCCAGTGGTTACCTTAGACAGCGCAACACGCATCCTTGACTTATCAAAATCTAATGTAATTGCACTTATACTTTTATTCTCTTCCCAGACTATGCAAGAACATTTGGACTTTTACATCCGTTTTCTTCCCCAACTGCTATGCTATATTTTAATTCTGTATATATTTGAAGGTCTATAGACATTATTACTGTTGTTTAATATTGTCAATATTTGTTTAAATTTACCATATTTACAGTTTTTTCCTTCCCCTTTATTCTTTCCTATAACTCTGACAGTCCTTCTCCATAAAGAATATACTCTAGAATTGTTTTTGAGTCTGCTGGTGGTGAACTCTCAGTTTTTGTTTGTCTGAAAAAATCTTGAGGGATATTTTTACTGGGTGTGGAATAATTCTAGGTTGGCAGGGTTTTCTGGTGCTATTTTCCCCAACATATTAAAAGAATCATTCTATGATCTTCTGGCTTTCATCATTTCTGTTGATACATGTGTTATCTTTCTAACCAC